TAATGGAATGTCGGTTAGGGCCATGGCTTTATGATGGTCTTGTCATCCGTAGAAATGATTGCAGAGTAGTTGTTGCAACAGTAACCTTGCCATGCGATCGGGATTTGGTTATCGGAATTCCACGTACGCTGTATATGTAGATCCGAAAAGGTCTATGGTGGCGGATACGTCATACGCGTTAGGTATTGAACTGTATTTGGGGTTGGAGTAGGCTTTCATTGGTGGTTTTGATGAAAGTCTCCGCAGATGATTGAATATCGCTGTCCAACCGGAGACTGAAGCTATCTTTGTCTTGGAGATGGTGGGTTGAAGATGAGTGGCACTTGAGGTATGGCACGATGTGTGGGACAAGCTGAAGACTTGATACATTATGTGTACAGTTGAACCAGGCAACTTCCCAATATGATTGATAAAGTATGGTCAGTGAAGCTCCTCACCTCCCATCTGCTCGTAACAAAAGCCTAAAGTACGGCATCAGATCTTGGTAGCTGTGCAGAGTGGCAAAGTATACATTGCCATGCATGCACGGGAGTGGAGCCATGGTAGCCTGCATCGACCGAGTAGAGAGGTATAATGTAACTGGTAGAGTTCAATATTGCTTTATCATGCGGGGAAGCGGCAAAACAACTGATCTGTTCGGACTAAGAAGACCCTTTGAGCGGGTGCTGTCATGGATAAAATTGTTATTCCTTTTGTGAGTGACAGTGGTGAATATGACGCTGTGACACCATCGTGGAGGTGGACTGTAGTATATATCCACCCTCTGAAGAGTCAAGTCTGCTGCACCATTACTACAGTATAATGCGGCCATGATAAGAACATCGTTTATGGCTCCATCTTCGGACACAGACATCGTCAATGTCGCCTCAACTATCATGCTGATCTTTTGACACGGAGATCATCTAACCAATTGCAGTAATCAGGCGCCCGTAGAAATAAAGTAGTGCAGTCAAGGCCAGCTCACGCCTCATTTCTAAACCGGGTTCAGCCGTGGGAAAGGATGCCTCATGGAGGGGTCATGCCTCACATCCCAGGGGTATAATGGACAGGCAGTTAAGCCGTTAAGAGCGGCGGACATCCGGGGTGCAGCAGCAGCAGCAGCAGCTACTAAGCTTGGAGATAATAATTAGGCGAGAGTGGGGAATGAATGGCATCATTGGCATGTTACACGGCCGCCATTATCGTGACAATGCACGTGCCATGGATCGGGTCCCCCAGGATTCTTTATTTATCTGACCGTTTGTCATGCTGTCTTTTTTCCCCCTCCACTCCCTTCATCATCTGCTATGATATGGCAGGGAAGTTCACGAAAGGAGGGGGGGTGGTGGAAGGTGGAAAGAGTTAAAGCAACAAGGTTTCAAAGGAGAGACATGAAAACCCTCCTCTCTTGGGAAGCGGATGGGGAATGATTAGGGCGCGGTGACCAACCAAGTCAAGAAGTCAAGGGACCACCCGGACTCCGATCGTCAGATGATGCGCCTTTAGCCCCGTTTATCTGCTTTGGTGGCCATGACCTCCTCGGATGTCGTGCCCATCGCTGCCTCCTGCATTTATTTTTCCTCTCCTTTTTGAGGCGGTATTATTATTCTTCCTATTATTATTAACAACTATTATTGCCCCTCTTAATTGTGTCATCTCTTTCACTTCTCGCTAAGCTCTTTCTTTCCTTCATTGTGTGCTTCCTCTACAGCCTCACTCACCCCCCTAACTACTAACCTTGCGACTGCCGTGTTTATTTGTCTCTCCCGTCTCTCTTAGTCTCTTTCTTCACTTCGGCAACTTCACCGCCATCTACCGCGCGCGCGCTGGAGAACCACCGAACTAGTCGGAGTCCCCACTGTTCGTTTTCTCGGCCTCTTCTCGGGCTTAAATGTTGTTGGATATGTCCGCTGCTGAGGGTTGTTCTTATCTCTCCGTCCCTGCTGCTGCTGGTTTGCATTTGGCAGACCCCGGACTGCCTGGGCTGACTTGACTATCTCCAGGCCGCATATATTAAGTCCGAAGCAGCTCTTGCTTCCCTAGTTTTCCAAAAATGCCTCGTTCAGTCCCTCCCAATCTGCAAGGCGCTCTCCCGGAAGCCGAGCTTCCCTCCGGCGGATCGGACGCCCGCAGGACTGCCTCGCGAACAGCTCCCCCCTCGCCATCTGCCGTTCGACGAACCCATAGCCTTCTCTCTGAAGTCCAAACTCCTCATGAACCTTCGGATCCGAGTATGGAAGTAGGCGAAACCACAAGTCTTCTACCGAAGGGCAATGAAACCCGGCGGGGTATGCCACGACGTTCATATACCAATCTTTCTGGAAATACGGGGCCCGATTTCAACTTTAGACACACCCTAATGACGGGAAGCATTCGCCGGTCGCGACACCATAGCCGCGCCAACTCTCAGGCGATCCGTTTTAGTCGACGCGGCAGTATCGATGCGGAGCAGGCAGAAAGCTTGGCTGCTTCCGTCAAAGATGGCCTGACGGCTTCCTTCATGGATGAGCGGAGCTGGTATGACCAGTTCACCTCCACTGACTGGGTTCATGACAGTATCATAGACGGGGCTCGTCTTCGGGAGCTGCGCAAGCGCAAGGATATCCGCGGTCGTCTGCTGGCATGGCTCGATGGCTCCCAGGGCTGGGTCCTGGTCGCATTGATCGGCTGTATCACCGCCGCGATAGCTTATTCGGTAGACGTGACGGAGGAATTCATCTTTGACGTGAAGGAAGGTTTTTGTACTACACACTGGTTCCACAGCCGTCAGAGCTGCTGTACAGGAGGCTCGAATTGCCCGGCGTGGCGGTCCTGGTCCCAGATCTACAGTCCCTCAGGACCGGATAACTACTGGGTCAATTACGGCATGTTCATCTTCTGGGTGGTGCTGCTTTCTGTCATCTCGTGCGTCTTAACGCTGTTTACAAAGACCGTGGTTCCATCCTCGGTGTCGCTTACAACTCTGGATGAAAACCTTGGGGCTGCGTCGTCACGGAGTACAAAAGGAAACAATGCAAATAGTAATTCACCCGGATCTGCTTCCAGCCAGCAAGCGCTTAGTTCCGCCATCCCTACGCGTCCTGCCATGGTTTACTATCCTGCGGCAGGTAGTGGCGTGGCTGAGGTCAAGGTCATTAACAGCGGCTTCGTTCTGCATGGATACCTTGGCTTCAAGACTCTCTTGATCAAAACCTTTGCGCTGGTTTTCAGCGTTTCGTCAGGCCTCAGCTTGGGCAAAGAGGGACCTTATGTGCACATCGCGACATGTGTGGGCAATATTTGCTGTCGCATTTTTGCCAAGTATAACCACAACGATGGCAAGAGACGTGAGGTTTTGAGCGCAAGTGCTGCAGGTGGTGTGGCGGTAGCATTCGGTGCCCCGATCGGTGGTGTCCTTTTCAGTTTAGAGGAAGTTAGCTACTATTTCCCTCCGAAGACTTTGTTCAGAACATTCTTCTGCTGCATCGCAGCAGCTCTCTCCTTGAAGTTCCTCAATCCCTACGGCACGGGCAAGATTGTCTTGTTCCAGGTCCGCTATCTGGGCGACTGGGAGATGTTTGAAATGGCAATCTTTATCCTCCTAGGTGTCCTCGGTGGAGCACTAGGTGCTCTGTTCATCAAGGCCTCGAACCTCTGGGCGCGGTCTTTCCGGAGAATTTGGTTTATCAAACGTTGGCCAATGATCGAGGTCGTGCTTGTGGCTGTTTTGACCGGATTGGTTAGCTTTTGGAATCGTTACACCAAGCTGCCCGTCTCCGAGCTTATGTTCGAGTTGGCTAGCCCTTGTGATCACGAGTCCTCCTCGCCGACTGGTCTGTGTCCCCCGGAGGAGGGGATCGGAGAAATTATTCGATATTTGCTTGTTGCCTTTGTCATCAAGAGTCTTCTAACGGTGGTGACGTTCGGAATCAAGGTGCCGTGTGGTATCTACGTCCCTTCCATGGTTGTTGGTGGTCTCCTGGGTCGCATCGTTGGACATGCCGCACAGTACTTGGTACTGAAATATCCCACCTCCTTTCTTTTTGGATCGTCTTGTCCCGCCACCGCCGGCATGGAATCCTGCGTGACGCCAGGAGTGTACGCCATGGTCGCAGCAGGTGCAACCATGTGTGGAGTGACACGTTTGTCTGTTACACTGGCTGTCATTCTCTTTGAGCTCACGGGAAGTCTGGACCATGTGCTGCCGTTTTCCGTAGCTGTGTTGTGTGCCAAGTGGACTGCTGATGCTATTGAACCTCGCAGCATTTACGTAAGTACTGCGAATGCTTCATGTGAAGATGTGGGCTAATTTGAACAGGATATGTTAACCGATATGAATTCTTACCCGTTCCTGGACAGTAAGCATCAACCGACGTCGGATGCACAGCTAGGAGATCTCGTTCGGCCGGTTCGCTCCAGTCGTATCATTGACATTTCGGGGTCGTCCTTTGTGCCGGCACGCGAGCTACGTTCGAAGCTTCAGAACCTGTTGATGGCGGGCGAACTCGATGGTGGTCTTCCGATCTTGCGCCATGGTGTCCTTACCGGTTTAATCCCGGCACCTGAGCTGGAGTACGCACTGGACAACCTCGCAGACGAGGAGAACACCCTCTGCCTGATGAGTCTGGACGGCTCTTCGGCTGTTTCTGACAGCGAGGATGAAGCCGAAACCGGCCGCGTCGACTTTGGTCAATACATTGATCCGGTATGTAGCTCGATCCTTTCACGTTTACAAAACTGACGTCTGCAGTCCCCTCTTGCCCTCGACATCCATTCGCCTATTGACCTCGTGTATCAATGCTTTGCCAAGCTTGGTCTGCGCTATCTGTGCGTGTCGCATGATGGCCAGTATGCCGGCTTAGTACATAAGAAAGCCTTTGTGAAGTATATGAAAGAGAATGAGTGATGTGATTGTTAGCGTTCAGCGTTGCAGTGTTTCATTACAACATGGTTCAGCGATTATTGACAAGTATTTGACAGCTGCATCCAGCAATGTGCATACTCCATGTGCTTGTATATTAGCAAGGAGTTGGTTTGTTTGTCTCTGATTTTGGTTTTTGACTTGTTATTTCAGCGAGAGCATGTGATTTGTACCAGCATTATTAGGGCGGCTAGTTGTTATCTAGACTGTACATATCTGCCGTATACATAGACTCTGCCAGAACTATATCAACTTCACCATGATAGACACCCATGTACGCCCGCGCACATAGCCTCTACCTCTACCCTCCCTCAACTCTACCATTTACACCCGTTCATACCCCACCATCTGCACCCTAACGTCCCCCTCCTCAATCCACCTCCCGGTAACCTCCTCCCCAACCCACTCGGTAACCTCCTCCGGCGAAACCCTCCTCCACCCCTCCTTCTCGCCAAACAACTCCTCATCCACCGGAAAAAACGTATCACACTCAAACACCTCCCCCAGATCCCCCTCCGCATAGCCCTTCTTCTCCACATTCGTCATCACAATCCTCACCGGCCCTCCTTTCGCAGCCAAAACAGCCCCATATATCTCCGCCCCACCAATCACAAACACCTTGCCAAGTTTCCCTTCTCCATACCTCGTCTCCAGCTCCTGCAGCGCCTCATCCAATCCCCCACACACGATTGCGTCCGTAGCGGGCTGCTGCTGCTGCTGCTGCTGCGCAGCATTACCATTACCCCCAGCAGCTGCTGCCGCAGACGCAGCCATCTTGGCCTTCCGTTCCTCAACCTCCCTCGCCACCCTCGGTTTCAACCCCTCCACATCGCGGGTAATGATGGTGCTAATGCGCTTCGCCAGCGGACGCAGATGCGCCGGCACGGAATCGTACGTCTTCCGACCCATTATTATCGCGTTGGTGGTTCCTGGGCTTGGGGGCCGGGAGGTCACCCGTGCGAAGAATGACATGTCGGTTTTGATTCGGGGCCAGGGGAGCGTGCCGGAGTGGCCGATGCCGAGGCGGATTGGGGTGCTGCTGCTGCTCTCGGTGGTGGGGTTGGGGGTTGGGATGGGGGTGGTTGCGACGATGAGGGTTAGGGGGCGGGGTGTAGGAGGCATTTTGGTAGTTATTCTTTTGAGAAGAATTGTGGTGGTGATGGTGGTAGGTATGTGTTGTATGAGGCTGGTTGGTGGTAGTGAGAGAGGGAGGGAGGGACGCGGTGGGGGGAAATTTGATAGGAAGGGAAGGGAAGCTTTTATCAGAACGGTTCGCGATCAACGATATTCCCCGCTGGGTTGCAACCACGTGCTTTTAGTTCGTTTCTTCGATCAGACTACCCCAGATTATTATGTATGGTTTAGTAGTAGGAAAGGGTATATTTACAGCTTGATGACGATAATCATAATATATACAAACTACCTAATTCACAATTCTATTAACAAAAAACATAACACCATTTATCCACCAACTCCATGCAATAACCAACCCAGTATACGCCATGCACACACACAACACAACACAATACAATACCCCCAAATCAAAGCTGCAGCTACTCACTTAGCAGCCTTTAGAAACCCCCCATCTTCAATAGCCTTTTGAATGGCCTCCGCATTCATCTCTAATTCCTCGCGCCGCTTCACGTCCGCTTCGTCTTCGCCTAGTGTGTCGAGTTTCCCGAATAGCCACGTTTCTTTCATCGTGCGGGTCAGGGCGAGGATGTCTTCTGCGGCGCGAACCTATCCCAGATTTATTTCGTAAGCATTGTACATGGTTTGTGTAAGATTGGTTGGACGTACTAATGCTGTGGATTCCACGTCGAGCTGGTATGTCTCGACGGCGGTGGAGGTGTGGCTGGTGCTTTCGGTCTGAAGATTTGGATTTAGTGTTATTGAATTGTGTAAGTTGGAGGAAGACAGGTGAGCTAACAGTTGCTGTGGCCATGATGTTCTCGAATCGTTGGAGTAATTGCGAGATGTTGGTGTTGATGCGATCTGCGACGGATGATGGTTGTTAGCTGTGCGACGGAGGGGTGGAAAATATAGGATTTGGCGTACAGTGAAGCGCTTTCGATGACGGTTGCGAATCCATTTCTAGGTTTAAGCTGGTACAGCGATTGGTTTCTGTTTGTGTGAAAAGATGGGATAGGATAACTGTGATGAATGCTGCGGTGCAAGTAGATTGGGAGCGGTGTGGGTACTGCCGGCAGTACGGTGTCTATCAGGTTGATATGATAGGAGACTACTTGGGTACTAAACTGAATTGGGCTATATGGATAATTGGTTTGATGGAGATGTGGGTATACACTATGAGAAGAAATAACTATAATAGCGCCATGTGTTAGAGTACCCATTCACTCTTTCGCCTGTCGTCGCGCTTTCTTCCTGTGCTGTATTAGGAAGCATGTGTTTGTGCTGCTTCTCTATTCGCATGTTAACATGGGAGTTGTTTCCACCACGATGTTGCATCTGGTATGAGTGGGACCCATTGACGACTCTAGGATAGACAATAGTCGTCGGATTGACTGCTGTAAGGAGTGTGTGTTTCTCGGACACGAGCTTAGCGGACGTATTTCGACTACACGAGTTAGTAGATTCATCGCTATTCCAGGCGTACAACTCACCATGAATCTCTTGTGGAAGTCCGATCGCAACAGATCCTGCATGCCAATTAGCATCATAACATCATACACAAACATACAAGGGAAGACTTACGTTAACAAACTCCTTGCCCCTTCTATCTTCTGTACCACGGGCCTGGTTCTTGAACACCACATCGTCGTCCCACCTACGCTTCACATTGAAGTCTTGAGGGTTAAGCAGCGGGTTGCCTCGAGCGATATCGACTTCGCGTTGCTCCTCTTCTTGTGCAGCACGCTCACGTTCCTGACAGCTATCAGTAACTCATCTCGTGTCCAAATCTGCCGCACAAACCTCTTTCTCTTTCTGCTCAAGCCTCTCTTTCTTGATCTTCTCCAGCTCGCGCATCAGTTCAGCAGCCTCGTCCTCTTCATCGTCACTGCATCCTGTCAGCACTATCGCGCAAGTCTAAAACATTCGCAAGTCTGACCTTTCGTCCTCGCTGCTATCCTCTTCCGACTCATCAGAATCTGCATCTATATCTCGAGTCTCCTCTAGTATTCGTCGTCGTTTGGCTTCTGGATCTTCTTCCTCTGTCTTTGCATCATCACCGGGTGAACCACCTTCCAACTGGCGCTTAGGCGTGGCGGTCTCGACTTTAGGCTCGTCCACGGGAACTCCGTTCTTCTTGGCGAAATGAGCAGCCTCCGCCTGGAGCAGCTCGGCGCGCAAATCGCGTTGCTGAGTTTCGACTTCACTACCCTGACCGAATTGACTTTGACACGTCAGTGATGGTCGCACACGATTTTCAAACCACTTACCGTGTCTTAAGGTGTGTGTAAGCCGGGAGAAGACGTTGATGGTACGCAGGGCCGCGGAGGGCCTCCTTTCCTTGTGCCTGTTTCGATGAGCTTCATGCGCTGAGCAGATGATCGGGGTACATACGGGATCGAACGTGGGCCTGTGAGCTATAAAGTAGTCAGTACAGAGTTTCTCAAATCCAATGAGTATAGATACATACCCGTAGTCATGGTGGCGGCTGTTAAACGGTGTGTTGGTGGTAGTTGGCACTCCGACGAGGATGAGATCTGATAATGATCGCCGATGAGCAACCTCAGGCCACAAGATGAGTCAGCCACTTCACCGCCCGCAAACTGTGGCTTTCATTGGCTCCACGAGGAACAACATTGGCCCGCCGCCTCGATGACGATGCGGCATGCAGGAAATTTCCCAGAAAGTCCGCCGTGACCCCCGCCGGGGCCAAATCCGCCTCCGCAATCATGAATAAAGAAGCATTGCTCTCCGTCACTGAGCGCGACTTCATCCTCAATGCGCTGCGCGAGGATGTGCGACTGGACGGTCGCGGTTTCGACCAGCTGCGTCCGCTGAACGTGTCGTTCGGGGAGGAGTATGGACATGTGAAGGTGCAGCTCGGCAAAACCAGGTGAGTAGACTCATTGCAGCTTGCTTTAACAACGCTGATTGATTTTTTTGTTGAATGCAGTCTCATTGTCCGTATCTCTGCTGAAGTCACAAAACCTCACGATGATCGTCCGTTTGACGGTCTTTTCACAATCGCCATGGAGCTAACTGCCATGGGCTCGCCCGCTTGGGATAATGGCCGGTATGTATTCATCGGCCGCAAACAAGCGAGTTTCCAGCTAACCGTTTATTATTCAGACAAGGAGACTTTGAAACATATGTCACCAACGTCCTCGACCGTGTCGTTCGCCATTCCAACGCCCTGGACACCGAGTCCCTCTGTATCCTCAAGGGTGTCAGCTGCTGGAGCATCCGCGCCGACGTCCACGTTACCGACTACGATGGCAACCTGATTGATGCGGCTTGCATTGGTATCATGGCTGGTTTGCAGCATTTCCGCCGCCAAGACGCTGTAGTCAAGGATGGCCAGGTGATCGTCTACGGGCTCGATGAGCGTGTTCCTGTCGCATTGAATATCACGCATAAGCCGCTGTCTGTTACTTTCCACACATTTGATGAAGGAAAACGGGTCATTATTGATGCAACTCGGAAGGAGGAGCAAGCAGCGGAAGCCGACGTCGTAATTGGCATCAACAATGCGGGCGATGTGTGCTTCGTCTCCAAGTTCTCTGGGTCGCCGGTAGATGCGATGGTCTTTGTGGATAAGACTTCTGTTGCCCTGGAGAAGGTCAAGGAGATCAATGCAACCATTGATAAGGCGTTACAAGCTGATCTCTCGAAACGAGCGAAGATCGGTATGGCCGAGGAGTCGCGAGCGGAAAACGACCGGTAATTAGGCTTGAGCTTCAGAGAAGCGAATACCATTAATGAGTTAAGACACTGCATTAGAAATTAAATATGCCATAAAATTTGGCAAACGTCTGACAAAATTACGCCGCTAAATGAGCACGAGTCTCCCCATAGTGTTGTTCCACTGCGGAATTCTGTACTTCTCACCTGATAGATCCTATACTAAATCATCCCACTGTTTACATTAATTATCTGATCAAATCATAAACTTACATCCGAGGGACTCATACACAAATTTGATAAGCTACTCGCTGACATCTCCAGGCTATGCAAGGGGTCATACTGTTGCCTAATGTCCGTGATATATTCGACCCTTCAGCCTCCCCGTATATATTTCTTACCAATTCTTCCGTGCGAAGCAAGTATGCTCCAGTTCCTCATGCGACTTCTTTGTTCCTTGCAAGAATCGGAAGAGGAATCCGGTTGCTTTTGCAGCGCCTGAAGCATGGCTTCACATGTTGAAACATATGTCGCTCCGTCTGCTCCAAGTAGCCAGCGATATATCGTTTTGCCTACTTGGCAGAACTGCTATACCAACCTCATATCTCTCCTTCACCTCCACACCATCTTCTTTACTGACTGAATGCGCCTTGATCTTCTCCCATTCCACCCCCTTCGTGCTCGAGCAATTGCTCTTTGCAATGATACTGAGGACGATGTCCTTTGCAGCTGTAACCTGAGGCAGCTTGCCTCATATGTAGATGGCATTGTCCACATGGAAGGGAACTTCCACCCTGTCAATATTGCCTTGAAAGAAGGACAGTACGTCGACTAATCTCTTCATAGGGGCCTTGCAACACTGAAGGCCCTGGAGGCTCTCTGATTGAGCCCGTCAATCTTGCCCGTATAGAAGTGTGGCATGAATAGGTTTTGCCAGACTACCACTCACTTTTCGACTTTTTTGAGACTTTTGTCCTTTGTCTTCCTTATTTCCCTTCATGGTCCTGCAAGATTGACGGGTACAATCAGAGAGCCCCAGTGTCGCATGGCCCCTATGAGCTCTTTGAAGAGATTGGCCAACGTACTAGAGCTTTCTAGGCCCCAGTCCACCTCTTCACTTCAACACGGCGGAAGTGTTTGGAGAGGTTTGGCTAGTTTGACAAAGACTGTAGGATCCAGTCCACCCGAGGTCGCGGTCAGGATCAACCAGAGAAAGAGAGAAGATTTCCTCGATTCTCCAATGACAGTACTCAGACTGTATGATTCTTGAGACACCCGAAGCTGCTTCCAGCTCGAAGGCCCTTCATTCTTTTTCGTAAAAGACAATCGAATCCCGGAAACTTCATTCCGGCCTGCTTCTCTCATCAGACGGGATAGAAGAGAGACTATAGTATCTCGAGGCGCTTTTACTTCCTCCAGTGATATGAGTGTGTCAAGTGCTGGAAGTATCATCAGTAATATCGCTTGGGTATACTTTCAAGCGGTCGTTGTTTCTCATATAAACACAATCCAAACGGTGGATGTCGTCGTTGCCTTCTTCCTTTTTTGTATTATCCCGGCGTACAATCCATAGATCGGTTTAGAAACCGCCATTGTACCGTGGAAACAGCATTCGGTGTTTGGAGTTTGAGGTTTGGCTTGGGAGAAACAATGTTTGAGTGTTCTTCCGCGATAACCTCCACGTTCTCTTGCCAGTTGTGGTATATTTGGGAGCCGAGCCAGTGTGCTGGGAGTGCCTCTATTGTATGAAGCAATGAGAAGATGCTCGAGGTTTATCCAGTATATTATTATCTTTGGAAGGTTCTTACTTTCCCCCAGAAGCGATTTTCTGTACTTGGCTTTTCCATATCAATACCACCACGCCATAACGATCCTACAGTGATGTAGGCAGGGACCATATTCAACGCAGTGGTTGATATATGCTTTGTGGATTCAATGTATGCTAGCATTCGTTCGGGTCGAGGCCTATCCTGGGCTCCAGATGACTCGAAGTCGATGCCTGTAGGAAGTTTGTGAGGAGCAGTTAGACATTGTTTCAGGACTTATCGTGTAGAGTGCTTTTGGAAGCTTCTTACTATTTGTATCCCGGTAGCGTCCATTCCTGGGCTCCAGACGACTCGAAGTCGATGCGTGTTGGAAGCCGTTGAGAATGACGGGAAGATGTTGGTCAACATGCCGGTAGGAAGTTGATGGGTTTGGTGGAAGGAAAGAGCAAACGTCGACGCGCTGACCGCTAGACAAAATCGATATACCGCATCTATCTGATCAGCCGATGGAGAGATATGTCCCAACAGAAATTTTAAGTAGATAAGAATGGCAATAGTGTTTCGACTGAGCACTAACGGAGCTTTTGTGAACTGCCCTTGGGTTGTCTGTGTATAGCAGAACAAGATAGTTGCATACATTAGTGTAAATACTGGCGGATGGGAAAACGCCTTGCCTTTTCGTATTCACTTGTTAAATTGCCATTGCATTGTTTGCTGCAATCATCCTTGAGGTCTTTTGTCATACTGGGGCTAGTAAACGACTAGCAATGAGGAATCTTCTGTAGTGGCCTCTGCAACAACTGAACGACAAATAGTATACCATTATAGGAGGATCCTGGGGCATTCACATTAACAGGCTAGTACATCTACCGCAATTGTAGAAATTACCACTACACAAATGGCCATATGGGGCAGGTGGAGCCAGTGAATGGCCATTTTCTCCTTCTACTTCTTTTGCAATTCTGCGGGTTCTTTGGCTCCTCATAGAATGGGAGAATTATCCTATCGTATAAATGTTCTTCTTATTTAGCCAAATGCATCTTTGATAAGCTATGCAAGGGGTCAAGCTGTTGCCTAATGATATAGGCAGCTGCAGGCACCCTTCTCCTAAATGAAATCACAATCTTGGCAGTAACATGCTTATATCTACAATATAAGAAATTAATTCGCACCCCATCTCACATTCCTGAGTCTCGTTCTTCAGTGTATCATCGTTTTAATCCTACTTTAGGTGTTTGAAAATTTACAAAGGAATCTTCACGGGACCCTCGTTGAAGTGGATATACACAATCTAAAAATTTGGCTGATTGCAATTTTCAGGTGATCATAAAGCTAGCTAACCAGTTTCTTTATTGAGGATGAGCAATACGCAAGGTCAGTCGTGGACAGAGACATTCTTCACTGACTGGCATCTACCAGATTGGATCAATGCAGGCCATGAAGATAAGCAAGATGTCAGACTTTTCAATCCGCAGAAGAAATGGATACTGGGAAGATCCGCAGATACCGGACGATACTCTGAGTTTGGCAGAATACAAGTTCTGTGGCTATATGTCCGACGTGGAGGGATATTCTACCGCCAGCATGTGGCTAAGATTGTGAGTACATCAAGGAGTGGGAAAATTTGACAGAAGGTCTAATGTTAAACAAACTGAAGTTCCCAGAGTACACTGAACATGATGCAGAAATGCAGCTTAGACGCCGGCCCCCGCGTTTCCCCAAGACGGCCAAGGAGCTTAAGGATGAGCTTGATTGGTTTACCAATGAACTTAAAGTGTTCAATCGCATTGACGCGTCATGTACAAGCTCTCAAAGGATATACTTTCCTGGGTTTCATGGTGTCATTACCGATCTCGAGAAGTGTCTTAGCAGTCCCTACGCTAAACATCGAGCCATTGCCCTAGAATGCATCAGGCCAAAGCTTTCATCACGACGGATCCTAGCAGCATGCAACGAACATAGTCCTGGTAGTGAGTTCAAGGGAAAGCTGAGAGGTCTAGGTTCCCTGAGTGATTTCGAAGTGGATTACTATGACTCCCTCTTCACTGACCGTGTTCGCCGACTTCTGACGTTGCACCGCCTTGGAATCACTCATGGGGATATTAAAGATGAGCACTTCAGACTTCCGATGGATTTCTTTGACACAGTTCTATATGACTTTTCCCACTCATACACCTTTTCACCGGTCAAGCCCTACTCAATTAATCGTGGTCAGCCGCGTCCATTGAAGAATATATCAAGGGGCGAACAGACCGAGGTCGAATCGCTGGTATTTGAACGGTAGGTTGTCAGGGCGACTCATTGACAGGATGCTGAGCTAAGTTTTGGTCAGAGCAGAAAAGCTAGACCTTCGTGAATATCTTGTCAAAACCACCGGGGCCACTCAGTCAGTGATCATGGATGCTCTGTTTCAACCTCTCCAAGAGGAATTGTTGGAACTAATAATCTTGAGGGTGAGGTTCCGGCCTGATGGTTAGTTCAACCGCTACCCTTTCCTGAAAGTGTGCAAGTCATTGAAGATGAACTTAATGGTCTCCACAGCCTTCTCCATGCCGTCAGTGAATTCGGTCTTTCCTTTTCTAGAGGGTATTCGTCCGCTTGGTGACATCACCTGGCATATACGTCGAGCTCGAATGCTAGAAGCATATACATCGATTTGGTTAATCTCCAGAAAAGACAGATCAGGGAAAACCGCAATAGAGTCCCTTACCGAGCAAAGTCACTCGAAAAATAGTGAAGAGGAAAGAATAAAGTACTTGCTTTGTCTGATACCTAAAACATGGGAGGCGGAGCATATCCACAGCAAAATTCCCAATGTCTGCTTGCCTTTGTCATCTGCTGATAATGGCTGCATCAAGTCATGGGATGATTTCATGCAACATGCGTGATCATCAACATCCTTTTATACTCCAGTTTATGAGGCGCATTCTACTCAGCGTACTTCCAAGAAGTACTGAATACACTGATAATACTTATGTCAAATAGCACCCACTCGGCTGTCACCATCAAAGACCATCATATCTAATTCATAAACCGTCTTCCAGGGGCTGGGCGCTCCGTGTGAGGCCTATTATTGCTGTATTTTGTTCTCTGTACCCTCTACTTGCTTGGATGTGCCACAGCCTATTCAAAATCACGCCTTAAAGTGTCTTGCCTGGACTGGGCAACGTATGGGAATCGGATAATGCACACTTATGTAGATAATATTATATCTATCTTTATGCTTGTACAGGTCTGAAGTGTCTTTCTAGGAAACGGCGGAAGGACATGTTCTGATATGAGCGGGCATGCTAGTACATCCCGTCCAAAAGCAGGCATAGATACAACAAGACTTATTTCCGTAGATAGGTACGAATGGCAAAATCTAGAAAACTTGCGCATATTAGGACATACTTATTGACAACAATCTGACTGTGTAGTATTATTATCTCACTTATTGATTTGAATTGCCTCCTCTAATTTTATTCCAGAAAAGATCATCCATCACGGTACAGAAGCTCGCTTACACCCCGTTTGATTGAGAGTAAGTGCTTTCAATCAGGTCAACAGCCTTTTCCGCAATTGCATATACCGTGCCGAGCACAGCATGACTGACCTGGGCCGGCATTATACTTGCATCGACCACGCGCAGACCCCGAGTACCCTTCACGCATAATTCCTCATCTACTACTGACCCCAAAGCACATGTTCCGAGTGCATGGTGATAGCTCATCAACCGATCCCGAACATATTCTCGCGCCTGCTCTACATCCTGCAAGTTGACCTCAGGTGGCGGCTGCACCCGGGCCAAGACCTGCCCCTTCATGCGGGGAGATTGGAAGATGTTATCCGCGACCATGACAGCCGTCGCAAGAACGTCCACATCGGCGGGATTCTTCAGAAACCCAAGGTCCACTCTTGGTGCAGCCTCTGGGTCCAGAGACTGCGCGTGGGAGCTTCCCTGGGAGACAGGATACATGGAGCTGACCATAAGCGAGTAGCATGCGTTCCGGCCTGGGGGAGGTCCCGGGCTAAGTTTGCTGCAATCGGCATATACCCGGTCGATAGCAAGTGCTGATGGCAAACCCACCAACTGGATATCTGCTGACCGGGGGTCCGATAAATGCGCGGCAATGCGTTGACGCTGTCGGTGCTGGAATGCCACTAATTCGGCATCGTCGGTGGCGTCATTACTTTGATGCTGCAGCACGTTAAGGGTGGTTTCGTTGAGCCGCTCAGCCGAGACCTGGAGTCCGTAAGGGATGAACCCCATCAGGCTGATCGGGCCGGAAAGTGCCCCGGAATGCTCTTCCTGCAGCAGTCGCAGGTGCTGCTTTAGCAAGCTTTCGTCACGAAGGATGGAATCTATGGACAGAACTCCGTCTGCTAATTCGTACACCACCGCGGACACGGGATGTTCCTGGAGATTTGACCCGACACCTGGAAGAGGAACCCGGCATGGAACGCCCAGAGAGGCGAGATGTTCAGGGTCTCCGATACCTGAAAGCTCCAGCAGCTTGGGACTTTCGAAAGTACCGGCTGATAGAATAACCTCGCGTGCGACGCTGACCTGATAGTGATTACCCTCATGAACAAAACCAATCCCACGAGCGCACTGCTCGTCATCAAGAAGTATCCTGGTGACTGCCGCATTGGTCAGGACGTGGAGATTTGATCTACTCAGCACTGGCCATAGATAACCATTGGCCGCGTAACTGCGATGCGGGAGGCCATCGCTTCGATCGATAGTAAAGAGGCAGCGATGAAAGCCCAGGTGCTCTCCATTCCACGGCTCCTGGGGTCGAGACAGCCCCGACACCTCGTCCATTGCGGCTAGCAGCGGGGTTTCAATAGGGGCCTGCCAAGGGCCTAGCGAAGTGTGAATCGGGCCTTGCGTGCCATGTGCCTCTTTCTGCACGGGACAGAGATCCAATGCAGTGCCGGTCAGTCCAGCCGGCTCAAGCTGTTCGCTCTTTCGATAGAACGGAGCTAGTCCTGCCCATGACCAATCGCTGTTTCCTGCTATGGTGCCCCAGTCATCGAGGTCAATCGCGGAAGGTCTCCCATATGCCATGAAGTTAATGGCGCTCGATCCTCCGAGCACTTTACCTCGGGGTATGTGATGGGATCGGTTTTGGTTGTGCGCCTAGGGACCCTTCAGATTGCTCCGAAGCGTAAAGTGTCGGAAAGACCTACCTGTGGCGTGCTTTGGTAAATCCAGTCATACTTGGGATTGTGTAGCATGGCCGAAACCTTTCCCGGATTGGTAATATTTGGATCATCAAACCCTGCATCTCCTGCCTCGATGACGCCTACTTTCACATCAGGGTTTGCAGACAGTCGTGATGCGACGACCAGACCAGCAGTCCCACCACCGATGATGAGGTAGTCAAAGGTTTGTGCGAGGAAATCCTCGAGCGACGAGGTGAATCCTACCGAGGACATTCTGCTGGGTATTTGTTGGAATCTAGTAGCTCTTGGCTAGAGATCAATTCTTTTGGGGGCAAGTTGGCGGAATTATAGGTTAGCTGTCAGACTATAATCTCACGTAAGACGACCATGTTTATTTTGCCTTTGGATGGCCTGATGTCGTAGAATTTATGTCATAATCAATTTGGAACTAGCAGATAGATATTAAGTGGCATTCACTGGCAGTCCCCATACACCCTGGCAATCGTTGAACCCCGGCATAATCCCCAGAACCCAATGACATTTATGTATGCCTCTTAAAGAGTCACTGTATCCGAAGAAAAACATGCAAACCGTCAAAAAAAGAAACGAGCGTTGATTGGATATTTAACATACGCTAGTAATGTCATACCGTTGATCACCGCGCAACGCTAACCTCTTCCAGCTAGCTTTGCGCGGTCTCCATATCGTCTGCTAAGCACACAAAGTATCTATGCAACCACCTGACTACCAGTAAATGTAAAAATGATTGGAGATGTTCAACTCTTATATGCTCTGTGTTTCTAAATCTCCATGTTTTTGTGCTCCACCTCGTGGGACATTATTCGTGATTTTATTTTTGGCCAATGCCCTGCGTAATTGCACTATGGGGTGGGGGTGCAGCTCTCGATCTGGTACGTTCAATTGCTACAAAAACTCAGTCCTACTATAATATAATATCGAGGCCCTCAGTCCACTGGTTACCGGGGAATCCGTCAGTATAAATTGGGTCCAAGGGCAATTGCCTTCTACGCTCCTAAGCCCGCCATCCTATTTCTCCACCTTCTCTACTGGTCTTGCATATTTCAATCTCCTACTCATTTTTCGGGTCGTTCTCGTTTATCTATAGAGACATGTACGGCTACACTCTAGACGAGCAGGGTCTTGTATTCCTTGCAATGCTGCGCGGTCTCTGTGTCATTGTGGGTAGGGGGGTGAAATTTGGCTCAATTGCTCTTGGTAAAGGCTAAAAAGGTCTTATATACAATCATACTACGTACTTAGACTACATTGTATTGATAATTGAAGAGAATCTGTTTGTAAAATTGCTCATCTGCCTATTGATGTCTACCTTCTTTAATCCACACAACGCCGGGTGTCCTCAAAAACTGAGGAAGGTCCGTGCAGACAAGCCTAAATATCCAAGCTTTTCTTCGTATGAATCTGAAACAATAATCAACCCACATTTTAATATCCCGTCCAGCGCCAAGACGCGCTGCTGAATTTAAAGCCATATAGCGTCGGCAAGTTGAGGGACTAAGAAAAATTGGGGATAACGGCTTGGAGTAGGCCTGTGGTCTAGACCTTTTGGAGTAGAGGCTTTGAAGAGAGGTCGATAGCTCCTATCTATGGGTTTCAAAGAGTGCCTGCAGGGAGCCAGTATTCGTGCACGCGTTAAGCCTAGTACATACAGTTATAACAATGTTCTTTCCGACCATCAAGCCTCTCTATATTCATGAATTTACAGCATCTACATTCAATGCAAAAACAATTCAATCTAATACACTATATGGAGTAATCTTCAGACGGCTGTAACAACATGAATTGACTATCTGGTCATTTACTGGATTCAGTTGTATAGACATCTGGCAAAGTGAAAATACGTAGACCTTGTTTATAGACTATGCAATATGTACTTCTACCCTTCACTGCATGAATACTGGATTTTAAAGTCTATTCTATATCCTGCCTCTCTTTCCGATTCTTTCTCCTCCTTTTCCATTGTCTAATACCATTTCTGCCTCCACTATAGCGTACTACCTCATATTATAATTGGGTGCTCCTCTTCAAATAGGATATAACTACGAAGAGGATTAAGACCTACATAACTCAAGCGAATTAATACAATAGACAACCTATTATCCTCGAGGCAAACAAGAAATCCTTCAGCAGACCATGACACCAATGATTGGCAAGCAATGCATAGACAAAACACAGAAGCATTCTTCAAACGCCACAAATGATACTAGTGCCACGACCTCCCTCCGGTTCCTGGAAAAGGTCGCTAGTCTTTTTGATTGCCCGCTAGTGGTCTATAAAGACAACTGAAGCCCTTTCACGGGCCAGAAATTCAGTGTGGCCATCAAGGAAAGGGAGTGAAGTATAACGGTAAGTACACATCTCACTCTTCAATAGTAACGGAGTATTGCTAACGTTATATAGATAGCCGAGTATAGTCTATATAACATATAGATTGCTGTAGTAAAGACTTGCAGTCAGCTACTGCATACCGCAGGCATCTCTATTCATGCGGCAAAGGAAGCCCATATGATGCTAATGTATACAGAATTGATAATATGCTTTCAAACATCCAAGAATGAACCCACAATAAATGCAGAATTGATACCATGTTGTCCACCTTTACAGTGGTCTTTCTTGATCTGGAATCATATTGAGGGACGCCCAGCGTATGATTCTACAATTTCGAAAATGAATCTCGGAACCTCGACCCTCTTTGTGGAGAAGGACGTATCCTCAAAAGCATTGCCGCTTTTCTTGGATTTCAGAGATATAAACCCCAAGAGAGAATTCAACAATTCGTGACCAGAGGCCGAGCGATATGGTGATGAGCGATGCTGTGTGTGGTGTCCTTACAGACAGTTATACGTTCATTTTAGGGTGCATGTGCCTTCGGGGCACGCGTGGGAAAGAAATATTCAGCGTTAAGATCTCCGAAAAGATTATACTGATATAATTCCAAGTGATTAACACAATGTTACTTCCAGGAGGGAGGTAAAAGTGCTCGAGATACTATAGTATCTCTCCTGGAGAAAATAAAGGAATGATAGTGCTGGAAGGTCTTACATTTCAAGGACTGTCATTGGAGCAACTTGAGAGGATCTTCTCCCTTTCTCAAGAGAAAATAGGACGCTTATATCGCAGATGTCGTAATGTGGTTTAAAGAAGCTGCAAATAAGACCTGCAGCCTTACCATACGCGAAACGGAACAATGTGGCGATTATTGGTCAGACTTTACATGAATATATCCTATATGGATGGCTTTCGAAGAAGCAATCTTTTTAAATCGTACAATGTTATATCTTGACTATCATGGGTGTCAATCGGCCAAGCCAGATTAAGGCGTCTGCATGCGCAGTAAGGGCTATGGAAAAAAAAAAGAAAAAAGTCTCAGCGCTAATGATCAAAAAGGAATCTTCCTGGAGGGGGAAAGCAATGCTTGAACCATCCTCATTTCTCTTTTGGCCCTTTGCATGTGCATCGGTCTCTCCGAAGAATACGATATCGTGATGACGGGATAGAAGACATTTACACATTGGTAGAAAGCTCAACCTTATATATCAGTGATATGATTGGGGCCCAAAAAGTGGAGGAGTGTATTAGCATCTACTAATACTATTTAGACGCATATAGGGTTCATTATAGTCATGTGGCTTTTGACAATGATGTTACTTAGAATGAAATATTGCATCTACAAAGTATGCTATAACTAGTATGCAGTGTCAGGTCCAGTCGTAGATTTTTAGTTTCTATGATCTTCTGAATCAAGGAGATACAGTTACCAAGTACTAATATGCTAGGAAAAGACAAATGCTTATCGTGGCTATCAACGACTGTATTGTATTGCGTCATGCATTCAGCTAGCGTGGCTACGTACGATCATATTATTGCTGGACTTGAGTTACTAGCTCTACCACTGCAATACAGAATTGACGAAGCATTAGCATGAATTTATGCTAGTTAACATAGCGTTGGGGGCCTAACCATTAGTTTTGTCGATCAGATGACAGAGCATCGGCTGCAAACAGACATGCCAGCATGTCCGCAGCCACGGCTCACTCTACGTTTATTTATTACCCTCTACACTTATTAACAGGTGCCCCACCCTGATTCAATGTCATTGAAACATCTCCATGCACTTTAACATCCAGAAATAGGTTATGAGCACAATGCAACTCTCTCCATCTGTTGTCTCGTTGGCAGACTTGCGAGCTGTGTTGGAATCGGATCTGCTCAGTCTGGCTGCTTCTGCCGCGGGGTTTGGGCTGCTCTCGCACGTCAGTCTCTTTCGCACCAGTTTCCCGGTCGAAGACTATCTCTTCGTACTGTTTTCAATCTATGCGGTCGCCGTCCTATCGACAGCATATGCGTACATAGCATTGACGCAATTTTCGGTCGCTCAAGCTCTTCTTAGAGTGGTACTCATCGCATCCGCGTTCAACACGGGTCTTATCTCTAGTATTGGCATCTATCGATTATTCTTCCATCGCTTGCATCACTTTCCAGGTCCAGTGGGTGCCAAGTTATCCCGCTTCTATAATGCCTACTTGGCAGGAAAAGATCTCCAATACAATGTGGAGATCGCAAGACTTCATCACGAATATGGCGATTTTGTTCGAACCGGTAATCCTGTGCTAGTTACTTATCCATCTTCTCGTCCAGGTTGTAATGTATTCCGGGTTTATAGGTCCACGTGAAATCTGCATTGTGCGAAAGTCCGCCATATCTTTGCTCTTTGGGCCACAATCCAAATGCAGCAAGTCACCTTGGTATGCCCATATCTCAACAAACCCAAAGTACTGCTCCGTGCATCATACTCGTGATTATGATGACCACAGAATGCGGAGAAAGGCGTGGGACCGGGGCTTTAACGTAAAATGTATGTTAGCTATTTGATGAAACTCTCTCTATCATCTCCATTAACCCAATGACTGATCCCATCATCTCGTTCAGCTCTCGGAATATATGAGCCCCGGGTCAAAAGCAAGGCTGATCTACTTGCCGCCCATGTAGCAAAGAACCTGGGCCAACCTATCGATGTGACGGCTTGGACAATGTTTCTTAGCTTTGATATAATGGGAGACGTCGGGTTTGGCAAAGATTTCCATAATCTGACCACCGGTGTGGAGCATCCAGCGATCAAAGGAGTTCATGACCATATGGCCGCCGGTGCTACTCTATTGCAGGTCCCGTGGTTCCTCTACATACTCTGCCGTATCCCTGGTGCCGTTTCTAGCTACAGAAGCTTTTTCAAGTGGTGTGCTGATGAGATTGAAAGGAAGCAGAAGGTATGCAATTCTCGTCGTGAAAACCTAATGGTGAGATCTAATGATTGTGTCGCATAATGCTATCCTACAGGCTTGGGATGCAAACTCCTACCCCGAAGATGTCGTCTCATGGCTTCTCAAAGCATACGTGGAGAAAAGTGCATCTGCTGCTCCTTCTCGCCTGGCACTGAATGAGGACTCACGGGCAGTCATTATTGCGGGAAGTGAGACCACAGCCACCACCTTGGCGACCGTCCTTTATTATCTGGCGAAGCATCAATCTGTGCTGGCTAAGCTCCAGCGAAAACTGGACGAGGCTATGCCGGGCGGAGCAGATGACTGGAGTTATGATAAGGTCAAGGATATCTCGTTCATTGATGACATTATCAATGAAACCCTTCGCCTGCGTCCTGCTGTTATGACAGGGGGCTATCGTGTCACGCCAGCCGAAGGACTTCAGGTCGATGAAGTCCATATTCCAGGAGACACCATTGTTTTTGTGCCTGTTCAGCTAATTCAGACTGACGAAAGGTACTACGAGGAGGCTAAGGAATTCATTCCAGAGCGATGGAGTGAGAAGAGACACGAGATGAAGACCGACGGTGCCCCCTTCATTCCTTTCCTGACAGGTGAGCGATGGTTTCCCTTGTGGTTTACCCAGATTGACATTTGAAGCAGGCCCTTATATCTGTCCCGGGAAGAACCTGGCCATGATTAGTCTGCGGACCAGCATATCGACCATAGCCCAGCAGTACAACTTCTCATTTGCGCCTGGCGAGACGGGAGAGGCTTTTGAAACGGGAGCACTGGATACGTTTACTACGAGTCTGCCTCCTTTACAGCTTGCATTCCAACGTCGTGAGATGTAATTATCAGATTTGTCGTGGTATCCGTGTCTTATAGAATTTTTTTTTAGCAAATTAACATGCCTTATAGCAATACGCACAATCTTCCCACATCCATGCAGCTATAGGCTCCATTTGTTATAGATAATATCATGGCGGCGGATGCTCTTGCCCACATAAGCTCCAAGCTCGATTCCTAGCCATAGCTCTAGGTCACTCACTAAGAGCCCGTGCCAATAAGGCTCTCCAGTTATTCCCTGGATATCATGACAATATATTACAAATGCGTCGTATGGTAAATAACTGGAAATTACGACCCTCATTCTTCCATTTTTCTTCGTACTTATTGATGAGGTCGCACTCCCAAAACGTGCGAAGATCTCGCCCAGGAATTAGGGACAGCCTCGACATCTCCGAGTATAGATACCCCAACCTCATAAATTTGTCTTCCGCCTTAAACCAAAGCGTTGATCCTTGTGGAGCCCTGTAAGTGTTGCCGTATCCAACAACTGACATTAACGAAACTGGCGGCTGCCGGAGTAGCATTTGTCTCCAGCTTGCTTCTTCTCGGAGGAACACTTTCTCTCTTTGTGGATCAAGTTGAGGTAATTCGAGACTAACAGACGAGGTGGACACTCTCTTTTGCCAGAATTCATGCCACAGATAGGAAAGCAGTGGGTTATCCTCGGTAATTGCCCTTGCCCTTAGCTCGGCCGTGAACGGTTCGGTCGCTGGTTTGAAGAACAGTAAAGTCTGGAGAGAGCTAGAGTCTTTGATGAGGGTGTGCCATGCACGACAGACTCTTTGAGCAGATATGAGCAAAGTGCGCATATCCAGCTGTAGAAGAATCATCTCCAAAAGTTCAGGGATGCAGATTTTCTGGGCCGCCATACTTGCGCTTTCCGATTGAGGAGTAACTGGGGTAGATTCTTCGGTAGTAGCCATATCCTGTGGATTGTAGAAATACGAATGGAAAGATTTAGTAGAAGCTGAGCAGAAGTTGGTAGGTAGTCATTTCCTCCTAGTTGCGTGTCTAACTCATATTGATGGGCTCATGATAAGGTACATATGATGACATTGTAACCAGATAGAGAACGACCATGGAATGCTAAGCATGAGGCTGAATAGCACTATATGATGTGTTCGTCCGTAACAAGTATAGAGGAACCATGGTGATGATCACGTTAGAGACCAAAAACAACATCTAGTCTAATAATAGGCATGCGCTGCTTACCGGGATCGTGGCGCAGCTTTGGATGCTCATGTTGTGGGTACTTGCGAGTTGCTAAACAGACTTGCAGATGAGCCAAGTCACGGGAACATGTGACATGAATGTCAGATCCTCTGCATATTGTGCATAGTAGCAACGATTTAGCCTTATTAAAAATCCGTGCAGTCATGCACTTTGTGTTGTAGATGGAGACGTTTAGACGCCTCAGGTGTCATAACGATGTAACGGTATTACGATAATACATGATGCCTCCATTCCCCATTCGGAATCATTAGCCCGATCTGGCAGCCCCGTGACAAGCAGGCCATTTCTCTTGGATGGAACTGAACAACAACCAACTGCCGAGAGAAAGCTCTCTTTCCAGTGGTGGACATGAACGGCTCTTTTGGTTGATCTCGCTATATTAATCTGAAACTGTTTCAGAGGGTGGGCACCAGCTAGCTCTCATTCCATTCTGGCGCGGGCAAACCCACCCTGTCTTAACGGGGTATGGATCGGACAAGACAAAGAATCGTGTCGGCCCAGCCACTGGCGGTGATCCAACGCTAACTCTGATTAGCCTCGACGCCTTTGCGCGGCATCTGGCTTAACCTCCAGGCAGTCAGAATTTCTCCTCACCACCCCCCAATCCCCAACTTTCGCACCTTCCTCGTCGCTTACTATCGACTCTCGAGTATTCCGCTTTATACCTCCTCGTGCTCCGACCGCGTTACAAGTCCACTGTCTTCGGTGATCCTCTCTCCCGTCTCGTCCCGGCCAATCAATGCTCCAGGGGCACCTGTTTGTCCGCCTTCAGCGTCATGGCCAGCGGTAGGCCCCCCGGCCCTCATCCAGCCGCTGGCCACAATGATGAACTGCTGCTGGATGAGTCGGCTCCCATGTACAACTCGGGACAACGCCCGCCGGTCAACGATGACCACTTGTTGCGACAATACGACATTGACGACTCCGAAACTCCTCACCCGCGTCCCTCGGTTTCCTACGACCAGTTCGTCGGCGGACAGGTGCCGCCGCAGTCCGGTGCTCATGCAATGCCCGCGCATCCCCCGACCCAAGCGGGGGTATACATGACCGATCCTTACTCCGGTGCCGACATGTCCCGCACCTACTCGCAAACCTCCGGGTTAAGCAACTACCACCGCTACTCCCTCGACGAATTCGACGATGACCGGTCGATGCACGGATACTACGATCTCGACTACCAAGATGATAACCATTTACAACCCGATAGCCGCGTTCGGCAGGCAAAGGAAAGGAACAGCATTCTGGGTCTGGGAGGCGGGTTGATGGGCAGAGCGAAGCACATGCTGGGCATGGGTGCTGAGTACTCGGAGATGGATCTGCCCCTGACGGAATCTGGAGCCAGAGCTGCGCGGGTGGACAGTGCAGATCCGGACGAAGGCGGCGCGGCCAGTGCTCCCAAGGCAAAAAAGAAGTCGGATTTCAAGTTTGGATTTGGCCGCAGAAAGGTCGACCCGTCTACGCTGGGTCCTCGCATGATCGTTCTGAACAATCCGCCTGCCAATGCTACGCACAAATACGTCGACAACCACGTTTCAACAGCCAAGTACAATGTCATTACCTTCATCCCGAAGTTCCTCTACGAACAATTCTCGAAATACGCCAACCTTTTCTTCCTCTTCACCGCCGTTCTCCAGCAGATTCCGAACGTGTCTCCGACGAACAGATATACTACGATTGCCCCGCTGTGTATTGTGTTAGCGGTATCGGCCATCAAGGAATTAGTCGAGGACTACAAGCGCAGGATGTCTGACAAAGGACTGAACAATTCGAAAACGCAGGTTCTGAAGGGGTCACAGTTCCATGAGACTAAGTGGATCGATGTGGCTGTAGGGGATATTGTTCGGGTCGAGTCCGAACAACCATTCCCGGCCGATTTGGTTCTACTGGCGTCCTCGGAACCTGAGGGCTTGTGTTATATCGAGACCGCTAATCTGGACGGGGAAACGAACTTGAAGATTAAGCAGGCAATTCCGGAAACCGCGCATTTGGTCAGCCCCGCGGATCTCAGTCGCTTGAGTGGACGGGTTCGGTCTGAGCAGCCAAACAGCAGTCTGTACACCTACGAAGCAACTTTGACAATGCACGCCGGTGGAGGTGAAAAGGAATTGCCATTGGCGCCGGACCAGCTTCTCCTTCGAGGCGCCACCCTCAGGAACACTCCGTGGGTTCATGGCATTGTCGTTTTCACAGGTCACGAATCGAAGCTGATGCGGAATGCAACAGCAACTCCGATCAAGCGAACTGCAGTGGAACGGATGGTGAATGTTCAAATTCTCATGTTGGTTGGCATTCTGGTTTCACTCAGTGTCATCAGTTCCGTTGGTGATTTGATTGTTCGCCAAACGGAGGCAAGTAAGCTCACGTATCTCGATTACGGCTCAACCAATCCGGTCAAACAGTTCGTTCTTGATATCTTCACCTATTGGGTTCTCTACTCGAACCTTGTCCCTATCTCGCTTTTCGTGACGATTGAAATCGTCAAGTATGCTCAAGCCTTCTTGATCAACTCCGATCTTGATATCTACTACGATAAGACGGATACACCGGCAACGTGCAGGACATCCTCTTTGGTTGAAGAGTTGGGCCAGATAGAGTACATCTTCTCCGATAAAACCGGTACACTTACTTGCAACATGATGGAGTTCAAGCAATGCACGATTTCAGGCATCCAGTACGGTGACGATATTCCCGAGGACCGGCAAGCCACCGTCGAGGACGGAATGGAGGTCGGAGTTCATAGTTTTAAGAAGTTGAGGGAGAACCTGCGCTCTCATCCTTCGAAAGATGCTATACATCATTTCCTCACTCTGCTCGCGACTTGTCACACGGTCATTCCAGAGAGATCTGAGAAGGAGCCTGGGAAGATCAAATATCAAGCCGCGTCTCCCGATGAAGGTGCACTTGTCGAAGGTGCTGCAAGCTTAGGCTATGCCTTCTCCAATCGCAAGCCCCGATCGGTGATCTTCACGTTTGACAACCAGGATTACGAATATGAGCTTTTGGCGGTTTGCGAATTCAACTCCACGAGAAAACGTATGTCGACAATTTTTCGCTGCCCTGATGGAAAGATCCGCATCTATACAAAGGGTGCGGACACTGTTATCCTTGAACGCCTGCACCCCGACAATCCGATGGTTGAAGCGACCTTGCAGCACCTGGAGGACTATGCTTCGGATGGTCTTCGGACGCTTTGCTTGGCTATGCGTGAGATACCCCAAGACGAATTTCAGCAGTGGTACCAGATCTACGACAAGGCTGCGACAACTGTTGGCGGAAACCGTGCCGATGAGCTCGATAAGGCTGCGGAGCTGATTGAGAAGGACTTTTACCTTCTGGGCGCCACCGCCATCGAGGATCGTCTGCAGGATGGAGTCCCAGACACTATTCATACCCTCCAGACGGCAGGAATCAAGATCTGGGTCTTGACTGGTGACAGACAAGAAACCGCCATCAACATTGGAATGTCGTGCAAACTTATTTCCGAGGACATGACGTTATTGATTATCAATGAGGAGAGTGCAGAGGCAACTCGAGATAATCTGACCAAGAAGCTCCAGGCTGTTCAAAGTCAGGGGACCTCTGGTGAAATTGAAGCGCTAGCTCTGATCATTGATGGTCGATCATTGACGTTTGCCCTTGAGAAGGATATGGAGAAGCTGTTCCTGGACCTGGCTGTCATGTGTAAAGCTGTGGTCTGCTGGTAAGTCAATCTCACATCCGTAAGCGGGTCTGAGCTAATGTTTTATAGTCGTGTTTCTCCCCTTCAAAAGGCACTCGTCGTCAAGCTTGTTAAACGCCACCTTAAGTCTCTACTTCTTGCCATTGGAGATGGTGCAAACGACGTGTCCATGATTCAAGCCGCACACGTTGGTGTTGGTATCAGTGGTGTCGAAGGTCTACAAGCTGCTCGGTCTGCGGATGTTGCTATTGCACAGTTTAGGTATCTTCGCAAGCTTCTGCTTGTCCATGGTGCCTGGAACTACCACCGGATAAGTCGCGTCATTTTGTACTCGTTCTACAAGAACATTGCTCTCTATATGACGCAATTCTGGGTGAGTTTGCCTCTGGGCGACACTGTCCGCCATTCTGTACTGCTACTGACAACCTCTAGTATTCCTTCCAAAACGCCTTCTCGGGTGAGGTTATCTACGAATCTTGGACTCTATCTTTCTACAACGTGTTCTTCACCGTGCTCCCTCCATTCGCGATGGGTATCTGTGACCAATACATCTCCGCTCGACTGCTGGACCGCTATCCTCAACTGTACCAACTCGGACAGAAGGGTATGTTTTTCAGAAGACACAGTTTCTGGTCGTGGGTTCTGAATGGCTTCTACCACTCCCTCCTGCTGTACGTCGTCTCAGAACTCTTCTTCCTCTGGGACGGACCCACGGGAGACGGTAGAACTTCCGGCCACTGGGTGTGGGCCGAAGCAACCTACACCGCAGCCCTAGCAACAGTGCTAGGCAAAGCCGCCTTGATCACCAACATCTGGACCAAATACACGTTCATCGCCATCCCAGGCTCGATGCTACTCTGGCTCATCTTCCTCCCAGCCTACGGTTACGCAGCACCAGCCATCGGCTTCTCACAAGAATACTACGGCACGATCCCACGTCTCTTTAAAGACCCCGTCTTCTACCTAATGGCTGTCATCCTCCCCTGCATCTGCCTACTCCGCGACTACGCCTGGAAATACGCCAAGCGCATGTATTACCCACAACACTATCACCACGTGCAAGAAATCCAGAAATACAACGTCCAGGACTACCGCCCCCGCATGGAACAATTCCAGAAGGCGATCCGCAAAGTCCGTCAAGTCCAACGTATGCGGAAACAGCGCGGCTACGCATTCAGTCAGGCCGACGAAGGTGGACAGATGAGAGTGGTGAATGCTTACGATACTACCCGGGGCAGAGGACGCTACGGTGAAATGACCAGCTCCAGGGCTCTGGTGTAATGAATGACTTGATTGACTTTACCTGATTGATTGATTGATCGATGGACGCTTCTTTTTCTTTATATGTGTGTCTGAGTGTGTCTTTTGTATTTTCCTTTTCCTTTCTCTTCTTTTCTTTTATTCTTAGCTTCTCTGTAATTCTTTGAAGTGTTCCCGTCTCGTCTCATTGCATGAGTCTCCCATCCTTGTATTAGTTGCATTTTCTGGCGATGAAATGAAGTCTCTTTTCTTTTCTCCCTCTTGGAATGGATGAATGTGGCTGCTTGGTCCTTTTTGTGTCCTTCCTCTCTTCTCTCCCTCTCTATATTACCTACCTTACTACCTACCTACCAACTACATCAATGAGACAACCTGAAACAATATTGACGGTTACATATGTGGCTCTTTTATCCTTCTCAGTATGCAGATATAGCCCTCCATCAGTTCTACGACTACGTAATGAAAGATCCATAATTCTAATTAACTGTGTTTTCATCCGTACATTCAAAACACACAGTACACAACAACCATTCCAAAACAAACCCCCACAAATGCAAGAGATGAAAGAAAGTATCAGAGAAAAGTCATCGTGTACACCTCTCCTCCGGCCTCCTCCAACCCACCCCCAACCCTTCCATAACTAATCTCTCCCTCTCCTCCCACGTCTCCCCATCAGCCTCAAGATCAATAACCTGTCCGCCTGACGTCCTCTCCCTGACACCACTCGAATCAAACTTCCACCCATGCGCCTTTTTCACATACCGTCGTAGATCTCTTTCGAAGGTCTTATCACCTGACCAGCCGAGCACGGCACACCCGACTGTTCGCCAGGGGGAAATGATAATGTCTACTCTGCGGTGGGGGTTTGGGTTTCGTTTACTCTTTGCGTAGTGTCCTTCTTCTTCTTCTGCAGTTTCTGTTTCCGGTTGGTTCGTAGTGTCGTCGAAGTGAGGATCCTGCCATACGACGAGGGCTTTATCTAAGGTGTCGAAGTTCTTGCCCGTACTGTCGGCGTTACTTGCTCGGTAAGGGAGGGTTTGTTGGTCGCGGTTAGAGGTCATTAAGTGGAGGGCTAGGGTGTGGGTGATCCAGCCGGAGGATTCGAGGCTGGCGACTACGTCGACGACCAGGTTCTTGGTTAGGGATTCGTCTGGGTGGGTGAGGATGAGGTCAACGTCGCCGCAGAGGGGTTTTCCGCGACGGTAACCGCCTACGATTATACATTGGATACCTCTTTCTTCGTTGTCGAAAGAGGTAGGGCGGACGAGGTTGGCGTGTTGAGTTACTGTTGTGGCTATTTGTTCGACTTCGGGGCGGGGAATGCCGGTTAGGAACTCGTCGTAGTATTTTAGGCCGATTTGTTGGACGCGGGTCAGGTTGTTCCAGCCGTGTTCGATGATGTCGTCTAGGTCTGTCCAGTGGCGGTAGTAGTAGAATTCGCGGGCGGTTTTGGCGCCGACGCCCCAGATGTTGTAGAAGGTGTTGAGGATCTGGAGGGTTGGGTCGGTGTCTAAGAGGGTGGCGGCTGAGAGGGTGCCCGTTGGGCTTTGTTGGTATTCGTAGAAGAGGTTGGCGATTTTGGTGTCGCAGCCTGGGAGGGTGAGGACCTCGGAGGGGCGGCGGAATTCGTGCGGGTAGGCTGCTATCGCTGCAATGGACGTGCTGTAGGCGCGGACGCCGATTTCGTCGAGTGTTAATTCGCGAATTTGTCGGATTTTGATAAGCTGGTTGATGAAGCCTTCGTTTGGGGGGTGGAGGGGGGTGGAGCGCAGGCAAGCGTAGAGGACGTGCTCCTTCACCCAGTCTGGGGCTGGGGGGAGGGATTCGGTTTCTTCGTTCTCCGAGGTCGTGGTTCGGTATAGTTTGGGCGGGTTGTGAGTAGAATCGTGAGTACGCGCATGGTGGTATACGGTCGGTGGCTTTGGTGGCGGTCGTAATGCGGCATCTTGCCTAGCTCGTTGGAGGATATCACTCCCTAGGGAGGCTGGCTTTGAGGGCTCTGCGGGGCGTGGAGCCCGTCGGGCAATGTAAACCGTATATGGATCGGTAGAAAGGAGCTCCTGCGCCTTGAGACATTGGTCCAGCCAGTCTAGTTTGACGACGCTGATGGTGTCTGCTTGTGCAACGGAGGATGACACGGAAGACGCGTCAGACGGGTTTGAAACGGTTGACTCCGCGGCGGGGGAGTCAGTCTGCGTCCGATGGAGATGCCGCGAGGGGTCATGCCGACTTTTCATCCCATCTTCTTCGTCTTCTGTTTCCGTGCTGAGGTCGATAATGTCGGCCTGGTCTGCAGGCATTTTCGACTCGGCTGCATCGACACGACGCCGCTTCTTTGGGGGCTCGGATTTACTGATAGATTCGGTCCATATTCCACGAGATCGTAGTTCCAAAGCTGCTCGCTTTCCTTGTCCTATCCTCCCGAGTACCAGTCTGGCTTCGGATATGTCGTAGGTCAGAGGTGCTTCTCGCTTAACCAGCTCCTCTTCTATGCCATGAAGCGATTCCAGACTGAGATGGGTTGGGAGCACAAAGATAGGCGGGCATTTTATAAAGCTGAGACCGGATTCCCCTGCATCATCATCCTGTGCAGGGGAGCTTGCTGTAGTTTCGGACATGGCCAAGCTATATAGTATTCATTGTGGTTGGTTTCACCGAGATTCATATATGAATGAAGTGTAAGAAGCCACAACATAAGGCTTCTGTATAGGTCACTTCCAGATTATATCGTATATATATATCCCTAAATATAAGATAGTGTTTTTTTGGAAAATCATCAGGGCGTTTATCTTGCGACAGCGCTAGATGTGTCTCGTGGCCGAAGACAGGCTGGATAGTTGCTGGATAGTCGCAAAGGACGTCGGCTTTTGAGCCAAGAAACCACTCTAATCAGTCGCTGTAGAAATCAAATACGAGTGTACCAGGATCTTATCAATTAGGATAGAACATCATGCTTGCCGTGGTTGGTGCGCATTGTCTAAAAGAAAAGGAAGAATGGAAAGCGAATCTTGCGTCGTGATGGCTGACGTCAGTCACCTTCGTATTTGCATTGGTGCCTGAGGCATTAAACTGGGCCCCCAAAGGTTACCCGATTGGGAAGTCGCTATACACACTCAACTCAAACATCTGATCACAGTCAATAGATGAATTAACTTCAGCTTTCTGCTCTGCGCCTCTTCATATGCATTATTCGACATGTACGCGTAACCAGTCTTGCGCATAAGCTTTTTGCACGGATTTATGCCAAGAGAAGCAGCACAATTGTCACACACGGTTTCTAAGGGGCCACAGATAGCCTGAGTCATTTCGTTCGTGATATTTGTATGTCTACATGTCAAGGGAGATCCTCATCTACTCACCTGCATATCTTTTCAAATATGATCTCATGACCTCGGAGCTTTTCTCCATGTTCGGATCATGAATACTAGGGTATCTGCGAGGTGCTATCAACAGACGAGAATGGCGGGACTCAGTTGTGTTCTGAAATTGAACCAGGCACAGACCTCCAAAGTGCGTGCTACAGGGTTTTCTTTCATCATGGAAGACCTGGACTTCAGTTGATAAATAAATTGTCTTGGTTCCTATCATTGATTGCTGGTCAAACGTTCACTACGGTATGTGAAGTGAAGATAGCAAAGCATTGGCATATAACATGGATGCAAGAGTATCTGACAATCTCAATAGATCAACTCTTCATGAGCCTCTAGACTCCCAGTGAGTAGACTATCTGTGTAACATACCATGTCGTGCCTAGTCATCTTTAGAATTGGACTCCCAGCTGCTCAGCCTCAATCACTTCTTGTCAGGGGTCGCGACAAATAACCCTTCGGTTGGCAGTGCAACAACTTGTCGTGAGAAGCCAACCCATCGCTTGACTTTCACACCCCTGGGTCTATTTTAAAATTTGTCCTTGGTGCCCTATGGCTAGACAAACAATGATCTGTGTGTATTCGGGCTTCTTACGCCTTGGGACGGGGTTGAGCAACCGGCTATACACCCATTCCAATATGGCCTATGAAGAAGCGTGCCGTCATCAAAACAATAGGAACGAAATAGCACTCTAGTAGAGTGCTCAGGCCCTTCATCATGGAGAATATATACTGGAGTCACCGGCGAGAGTCAGAGGGTATCATCCAAGTTCTTGTCTGCTTTGTAGGCCGGGTACCATTGACAATACTAACCCAGCCCCTCTTGCTGAGCACATCTGGCATCGAACAGCATCACAGCTACATTATCTGTTGCCTTCCATACCGACTTATTCTCCATCATGTTCAAACCCCTCGCATTGATCGCTCTCGCAGCAATCGGCCCCAGCGCATTATGTGCCCCTATCACCGGCAGGGACATCCCATTCGGGCAGGTCATTACCACATGCACCACCCCCAACACCATTGCGTTGACCTTCGATGATGGCCCATCATCATACACCCCTCAACTGCTCGACCTTCTCAGCGAATACAAAGTCCGAGCTACCTTTTTCGTCCTCGGCGAAGCCAGTCAGGCAAACCCCCAGATTATCCAGCGCATAAGACAGGAGGGACATCAAGTTGGCTCTCATACGTATGCAGCCCCAACCACATCCCCCCCCCCCCGCACAAACTAATAACTACATCATACAGCTACGACCACACCAGCCTCCCCACACTAAGCTACGACCAAATCGCCCAAGAAATGACCAGTCTTGAGTCCGTGCTCCAAAGCTCCATGGGCGATATTCCAACTTACATGCGTCCCCCTTACTTCGACGTCAACGACTTGACCCTCCAGGTTATGAAGGATCTCGGCTACCATGTTATCACAGCCAGTATTGACACTAAGGACTATAACCACAATAGCCCTGAACTGATCAGTCAGAGTTATGACAAGTTCGTCACTGAACTCGACAATGGTGGTAATCTTTGCTTGGCCCATGATACCAAGGAACAGACGGTGGTTACCCTGGCGAAGATGATGCTGGATGAGACGAAGTCGAGAGGTTTGACCGGTATTTCCCCATTATCCTCTTTAAATATGAATGAGTTGGATGGCTAATGTTGGGCAGTTACTACTGTTGGTGATTGCCTCGGTGACCCAGAGGCGTCGTGGTACCGTTCCAGCCGATAGAGGTTTAGGTTTCATGGCGTGACTAGTTCAGTCCCTGAGTCGAATGCGAGTGCGAATGCGAGTGCTTCCGGTTATGGCTGGCGAGGATGGGTCTTGGTAGCTGTGGTGGTGTATGTTTCAGGGCTGTGGCTATCGGAGCTTTTCTCCTTCAGATCTTGATCATTGGTACTTGGGTGCCGCTAGACCATGGAGGTTAGATAGCTTGTCGATGGGATGAGTTTCAAGAGGCTAAGCTTGGTTTTTGATGGTTGTGTATTGCGTTTCCGAGCTATACACGAAGGATCACAGGTTTATGTTTCTACATCTTGAGATATAGCTAGTTAGAGAATTGGTATGATTATTTAGTAGTAGTCACCCCTGAACAAGGACATGAATTGACTAGGTAGTTCCATTTTCAAAGTATGTATTAATTGCTATCAGAAATGCATAACTTTTAACTCTATCAGACCATAGAGCGTAATAAAATCCACCGGTATATAATCGTAAAATGCATGTCAATCGCATACTCATATCTCATTATCACCTCATCACCATCCCCCAACATCACACCCCAACATTCTTCCCTTCAACACTCCCCTCATCACCGCGCAGGCCCCCCACCAACCGGCTCCACCGTAACAGCCGCATCCCCCTTCGCCGTAGCCCCATAATTAACAGCAGCAGCAGTCCCATCCCTCCCCTCATCCAGAATCGGAGTATCAGGGGCATTAGTAGCAGACGGTTCTTCATCCCGATACCCCTCGACATCAGTAACAAAGGTCTTTCCATGTCTCCGGGCAATCCATCTCCTCCAGGGCTTGTAAACAACCACACTGAGGCCGCCGATGATGATGAAGAGGCCACAGATACCGCCGCCAATGGCGTCATAGTAGTCTCCTGCTACTTGGACTCCATCCCAGAATTTACCGGTGGGGTTAGCGACGTTCAGGACGAGAGTGAGTAGTTGGATTACGCCGATGACGATGGCGACCATCACTGTTAGGCAGGTTAGGACGATGGAGTAGTAGAGGAATGCTATTGGGTCGCGGTGATTCTTGGATGGTTCGACTTCGGTATCTTCGCCTATGAGGGGCGCGTCGGAGGAGGTGTCGCTCTTTGGGGGGAGGAAGTTGGCGGAGGGTTGGACGTAGAGGGAGAGCATTAGGGCTCCGTCGGTGGTGTCGAGGAGACACATTCCCGCTGGTATGTTGTTAGTAAAATTGATGGATTAGAAAGAGGGTAATAGAAACTTACCTGTGAATAGGACCGGGAAGATCAGGATAACCCAAAAGTTAGTGCCCTTGGCAGCTTCGACAGACGAGATGCCAAGAAGGGCGATTTCAGATGATGTGTCAAAGCCAAGGCCGAATAAGATTCCAAGCGGATACATTTTCCAAGGTCTGAGCGAGGTTAGTACTCTTACTTGGCATTAGGTGGAGTGGAGTCTTTTACCTGTCAATAAGCTTGAACATGCGCTTAAGCACGGAGAATAGCACACCACCGCCCTCGATCTTCCACACTTCATCTTCTTGGCCTTCGGGTAGATCTAAGACCTTTTGCATTTGCTTGTATAATTTGAACAAAATGTAGGCATTCATGAGACCCAGTAGGATCAGGAAAGCGGCACTGACTGAAGTGCCGATGATACCGCCAATGGTGCTGAAACTGTCGAATCTTGATGAGATAGCTGCAGCAGTAGCTGCGACCACAATTGATGTGATGATAACAATGCTGATGTTTGTTAGCACGAAGAAGCGTGTCTTAAACGGTAGGAACTCACGTGGAATGGCCGAGAGAGAAGAAGGTACCTACAGTGACGGGCTTTTGGCCCGTCGCCAGTAATCTTCTAGTCATCAAATCGATGGCCTACACAGTACTTGTTAATACTTGTTCCGTGAAGTGGATGAAGGGCAATTACCGAGATATGATCCGCATCAAATGCATGTCTCAATCCGAGAGTATAAGAGAGTACGGCATTAGACACCAGGGACCTGGAGTAACTTAGTAAGATGATGCTAGCTCCGTGGTTTAGCTTTCAAATGACATACGGGTAATAGCGCTGGAAAATTGTTAGCTCGTGGCCTAGAAATGAATACAGTCGAGAGGGCAAGAAGGGAATATACATACCAACACAATTGCGGCGGCAATCCACACCACAACGTTAATGAACGCAATAAACAGAATAATGGCGATGGCAGGCAAGGGAACCTTCTTCAGTCCCGGCAACCGACGATGCGATCGCTCAGCCTGCCTGACGAACTTCTTGATATTCCATTTGCTACCTGCAACATCGGTTTGGCCATTTCCCTCCGAGGCATGGCTTGGGTTAGGACTGGGAGGGGTCGAGTCCCGCATGGTTGACAGATAACAGCCACAGGGACTCCCGCGACAAGTGTATAAAAACGTTTATTTCTGAGAGATACCCCTTCCCGCTGTCCGCAAGTTGGAATGGAATCGAGTGGCTGAATAGGATGATTTATCTGGATAAGATTTGTCGTCCGTGGGTTCAAGCGTGCCGTGGGGAATGTCAAGGCTTTTTGGGGGTGCGGGAGGGGAAAAGAAAACCTGATAAGGCTCACATGCGATAAAGTATAAGAGAATTTAGACGGTCGAATTATCAATGCCAACCAAGCGGTGGATCCGGTTTGACGAACTGAGGACCAGAGGAGAAGGATTACTTATGCAAAGCCCATTTGGCGAGTTGTTGCAGTGGAGCTCCTTGCAGTCCCACAGGGTCCTGTTGGAGTTGGTCACTAGCAGTTAGTTCCTTGCTCGGGTGGTGTAGTACCGGGGACGCCCGGGGTGTCTTACTTTGGAAAAGGCTGAAAGCAATACACACTTCTATGTCTATCATATAAAGTTGGAGAAAAAAAACGAACAAACCGCAGGTGTCAATAAATCAATTATCTCTGTGAGACTGTGCTCACATGAATCGATGCAAGCCTGAATCTTCTGGTCTGCTCGGCTCTGGAAACAACTGCCACGTGACGTGCCCGCATCTGAAGGCGGAGCACGCCGACCAGCAGTTGCATCTCCGACTTCATCTTCTAGTCTACACCCCCCAGTGCAACACTGCAACTTCCCCTCACTTTACGTACTAGAAATTCGATCATGTGAAGATAGCAAGTCCTATTTCATGCAGGTCTATTGTACACGTCTCATCCCTGTGAGCCCGATTTCTCATGTCAAGTCCGATTCACTTGATCACCCATTTCGAAAGGATCGGTCGGGACGATAGATCCGTTTGCGGGTGAGCATTCAACCTTCCGAGAATTTTCGTGCTCGCGGGTGGTTTCTTCTCTCTGAAATCCACCCGCCTTGCGGTGGTCCCTGCGCCTAGTTGGCCGGTTTGCCGACATCGCTCGGATAGCTCCACTCAACCAGCCATGGCTGTCGGCGGAATTCCGCTCAACGGTGGAGTATTCCTGCCAGTCCGAGAACGGTCCTGCACGGGAGATTAGCTCGGGTTCGGGATTATTATACTAAACGTGCAGGTGTTCTTACCCTTCAAACCCGGGATACTTCTTCAGACTGCTCCGATGCGCAGATGGCTCGGTTTTGGAGGCCCCTCTGATCATGACCATGGCCATGAGGGTGCTGGAGGTGTTGATGGTATAGCATTTGCTCGACATAGTGTCAAGCAATCAATGATGCCGTTCACGCAGCAGCCATAACAGTTGGTGATGGTGTCCACTTGGTAACAGTGGTCTTGCCCAAAGGAAAGTCCGTACGGAGCATGTTCCATTCGTTCCGAGTGATAGGAGTCACATCAGATGCAGACAGTGGTGTCTTGGGCCCGCGCTTGGTTGGTAAGTTGCATCTTGTTGGCGGAGGGTTTTGGCGACGAGCTGCCCGGATCGCACGTAGTGGTGACTTCCGGGGACGCTCCACCTTCACCCGGGGTGGCACATTGGTCTTGGCGGGAGGTGCAACATCGGCCTTCGCAGGAGGTGGAATAATAATTCCTTCCTGCTTGTATTGCTTTCTGAAGGCATCCGCCACCTGGGACAATAGCATATCAGGCACATCCAGCTGCTCGTAGACGCGGTGGAAGAAGGCCCTGCTGAAGGGACGACCATGGAAGTCATTGATGGTACGGTGGAGGAGTTGCGCGCAGGATGAGATGTAAGATTCTTCGGGCGGTGTTCCCCGATGGGAAAGGATGCACAGCCGGCGCTTGAGGGTGTAGATGCGGTCCACGTTCAGCAGTGTCAGACCCTCTCTGCTGAAGATCACTTCATTCTGCATAATCGACTGTTGGATCAGGTAGTCGTGGGCCTGGCGCTCGTGCTGGCTGCGGTTCAAGGCATCAGTCCAGCTGTGGCCTAAAGAGAACTTGCTGGCTCCTTTGGCTACCGTGCGGAACACGATCCGCCATGCTGTCTCATCCAGAGGGGTGATGGGGATGACGATGAGATCGGATGGCTGGCCGGTCGGGTAGGGCTTCCCGCGACCAACAAGCAGAGTGACGTGCATCATCCTCTGCTCCAGCTTGGAAGAAACGTATTCAAGGGCAGGAATAATGGAAGGAGTCAAGGTCTCGGAGTCAAAATTGAATTCAGGTGATAATGGGGAGGAGATCATATCGCCCTTGAGGCTCCGAGTGGGTGAGTTCGGCACATACACGCCGGTTGGGCGAGGTAAACGCATGACACCCATGTTGGTATGTATAAGACGATCACTGCAATAGAGATGACCAGAATAAGAAGAAAAAGTATGATTCAAAAGCACTTCAACTCCAATTACTGGAAGTTGTGTGTGAGAGAAAACGAAAAGGAGCGTTGTTGTATTGGGGAGATCATGAGCAATAAATCTTCATCAGTCCCCAGTTGGACACTAAAAGAGGGGAATAAGCCCGGCAATAGAGACGCCAAATCCCTCAACCAACGCTCCACAAATTAGTGCTGCAGCAACCCCTCTTTGGACTATTTTGGGAATTCTAAGGATAGTAAATCCCCGGCTCCGTGAAGCACGAGGGCCAGTCATTGCCATCCAACCTGGATCCGGGGGAGCGGCACCCAATGGGTCGGGCGATATAAATAACCTTAAGCGCCGGGCGTGCCGTGTGATGGGCTCGTGCATGGCCCTTATGCAGGCTGAGCACAGAACACGCCAAACACTGGAAGCTGACTGGTGGACGGATTGATTTTAGCGTCGATTAATATCACTAGCCAGAGTCCGGATCACTTCTTTCTCTTTGGACCCCATCAATACCACCCCAAGGCTGAACTGGACTTTCACCAACGGTTGTGACAGTGATAGCCTTATCGGTCCAACGGCAGTACCACCTCTTCCAACAGAAGTATACCAAAGAGTGCCCCTGCACCAACATCGGCTGCAGAAGTCGCCCTCCTTTGGACACAACAATTTGATCCAAACAGATCAGCCAACACTCCGTGCGATTACCAGGACACCCCGCTCCGACGCGCCATAAAATGCCGAATTGTGCAGTGCACGCTCAGCTGGCCCCCACTTGATAAGACCTTGCAGGAACTATTGATTTCCTGCAGCTGCACAGCGCTAACCTCCGATTTGTGAGAGGTGGGCTTCCAGGATGGCGTGGTCATAGTTCCATTACCCCGCCTAAGGCTGTCGATAAGTGTGATATGGCTCTGGGCTGGATTGGGCGGGATTGTGCCATGTGTGCTTGCTGTCATGGGAGGATTTACGAGCATGTCTCCCACCGTGTGGGACTCTTAGCCGACGGACGTGACGAAAATTTATGGCCTTGCATCGGAGCACTCGGGTCCTTCCTCGATTCCACATGGCCTGTGGATTTACCGCCGAGCGGGATGAGGGATTTGGCTTGTGCATTAGGTAGTCAATAGTTCTATCTCGCCTGCATGGTCGTACGTGGCGGTTGTTGTGAATGGGATACTCCGTACTATGGGACCGTTATCACACTTATCTGCGAATGTGGCGGGCTGGTATTCGAAAGTTGGGATTCTTTATCGAGATCCTTTGTTTCCCCGGAAACCCAGGCGATGTTGGTTGGCAGTTGCCATCTTCAATGCTGCGATACATTCAGCGGGGTTGTTGGAACTTTCGGGTCATTCCTAAATAGATGTAGTCCCACAACTCTCTTCACTCCAAGGTCATGTGAAGAACCACGCTAGTTCACATCTTGCAGACCCAACTTACACCCTCTTCTGTCCTCCTTCTTCATTCTTCGGTCTAAACAAAATTTTCACGGCGCACTTTGTTCTCTGCTCCTGTGCTATCTTCTTCCGCTACAACAGAGCTGCATCTATTGATGTCTTCGGATATTACTACTCCGATCTTCAGCTGTTCAGCCCATGTAAAATGGCTCTCAGAAGCTTGAGAATGATGTGAGTACTTGCAGTGACACGCTTTGCACTTCCAGGGATCAACTTTATAGGATGGTCTCTCCCATTCCAGGGCATCTGATATCTGACACCCTTTTCTAAGATACTTTTGGCGCCTTGGAAGCTTCTTCGGAGCTCGCTCGCGGTACCAAGTTTGGGAATTCCACCTTGATCTAGGTTGAAATTATCGCGATTAACCTACGAGGCAATACGAGTGGTATAACCTTTGGGTTTTATCCTACTGAGTATGTCTGACAGACTAACGTTCAAACAATATTCATCCCTTACGGGCATTGTCACTGTTATTGCTGGAATATAGAGATCAGCAGGTGAGACAGATGACGTGATTATCTGGTACCGAGTCGGCATTCCACTGTATGTTATTACATCAGTGGTTTCCATGGTCAAGATTGTAACCAGTTATTCTACTATAAGGCTGATTTTCGAAAAGTGGTTGTGTTTGAATCACTTCCAATCCATTGTTTTCGTTCTTTGTTGCGAGGCTACTTACGGGTTCCTCCAGAATGAATGGATATCCTACTTTGGGTTCAAGCCACTTCATAACGACAACTTCCTTCACAACCCCGCAATCTGCCTATACCACATGCTTTTGCTCACGTTAACCCAGACATCCCCTCTAGCACCACATTATAAAAACCCTCGATGGATCCATTCCTTGTGTTAGCTTCTGCCTCCATTGTGCACATCTACCTCTACTCTATACTCGGATCATCTCACATCCTCATCTACCAACAAGCACGCGTCAAAATGGAAGCATCAAAAGAAGCCTACAAGGAGCTAGTCGAGTTTAACGATGTGACATTCACAGCCAATGAGACAGTGAATCGGATCGTTCGGATTTTCGTGTTCAACTACCTGGTTGAGCAAGAAGATGGTTTTTTCTATCCCTCATTGACCGATGACACCGGAGGACTTAGAGAGTCCGACATCCAACGCGATAACCGGTCCGGCATCGTGCAAAGCGTTATGCATGCTTTGGGAATCATTGCTCGTGTTTCGGACCCTAAGGTCTTGGGGATTGGCTGGATAAATACTAGCGATCAGCTACTCCTAAGGGAAGCCCTGGAAGCCATGTCCAGGCCCGAGGACCTCGTGGATATCGGTGCATTCAAGTTGTACCTAGAGCAAGAATGGTGCGTGGCTATCGTCAGTAAGATTGAACATTGTGGCCAAAACAGGGTCAGGCAAGAGGGCTGTGATAATGAGGGGGATAAGAAAGAGAAGATAAATTGGGGCAAACACTTTCTGGGTGAGCTCTATCCACTGGAGCCGTCGCATCTGCAAAATGTTTCGAATAAGTTCTTTCCAATGGATAGCGAGAACGTTTGGGGGGCGCAGTATCAGCATGCTTCGTGAGTTTATAGCATTAGGGAAATTGGGCCTTGTTTCGGCCCCATTTGGTTTCTCGTGTTTCGCAACGTCAAAGTATCTTGTCTAAGTCAGTATATCACTGTTGTGTTTGCAATATAACAAGATTTGTCTTTCGTGATCTCCGCATTTCCTTCGAGTAGTATCTCCAAAAATGTACTCGCATAGATGAAACTAATCCATTGTCTTTCCAGAAGGTGTATAAGGTGGACCGGGGCTATATTATAAGTGGGGCAAAGAAAGAAAGAACAAAAGCAAAAAGAATGACCAGACTGGGGCTCGATCCCAGGACCTTATCGGTGTTAACGATACGTGATAACCAACTACACCATCCGGCCAACTTGTTGAAAACTCGCTCACATTTATGTTACAGAAGCCTATGCATAAACTCTTCGGCAATTTCCATGATGAATTAAATGAAGCAGGGACTACTGATCGATTGGGGTGTTCAGCAGAACTTCCAGCTATTTAGAGATGAATCTTCTGTTCTTATATTTCATCATGATGGTTCACTTTTTCAATATGACAAGTAACCGGTATAGCCTACGCCAACTGAACGATGGTGTCGATCTGGTCGGAGTTTGTTAGGTCGGTTTCCAGTCAACTGTTGAAATATATACTAAACAGGTACAATTGACACGGATCCGAGTGCATGCGCGACGAGGACAACACAAATGTAGCTATGTTTGGTAAAGGCTATCCCCAGCTACAAGATATTGCCAGTAACCATCAATAAATTCAGGCAAATTCGCACAATTGGCATGCTGGGTGTTATTTCCTTACTCGTAGGGCACCCGACCTACATTAAAACCGAACCCAGGACACCAGTGTTAGATACCGATACGCGGCACAATCAAGAGATCATGCTCAAATCTGTAATCAAGAAATTAGGACGCTTACCCCTCCTAACGTAGACTATTATGAGCTCAGAGCTTGATCATATGAGTAAAAAGGTGCATTGTATCCCAGTGTAGGACAATAGAAATGGGTTGGGAGAAATGGACACTGCCAACGATACTAAAGGTAACTTTACCAATAGCTAATGAGATCAAAATATTGAAGCGTCTACAACAAGCGTGGCCGGATGGTGTAGTTGGTTATCACGTATCGTTAACACCGATAAGGTCCTGGGATCGAGCCCCAGTCTGGTCATCTTTTTGCTTTTATCCTTTTTTGCTCCACGTATGTTTTAGTATCTCGTGAAGAATTCAGTACCCACACCACCAGACCAAGGATACAATACCACCAACCTAGCGACAATTGCCACCAGGAGAGCTTCCCGAGTGCTGCTTCCTAAGTGCCACATCTAATCATGTGGTCGCCGCTATCCGTCGCGACATGGTATTTGAACACCCAGCCATAGTTCACTACGCACCCTATTGTCAGACGAAAGTAACAACTAAGTCACCCTGTCAGGTATCGACAAAGCGGAGGCAACTTGACGCCTATACCTGCGCGCCAAGAGCAACAGCACAACCAACAGAACAGGGGAGATAGAGCAGGGACCCCGTCGGTGAAGAAGATTTCAGCAGCGAGCACATGGCAAACCAGAAGCAGAATGAATCGATGGTCACATATCGCCAGGAACTCCCAAAGCCAATAACAAGTATTCAACAAAAACAATGATCCAGACCACACAAACCTTGCCCGAAAGCACCAGATGCATGATGCCCTACATGCCCCTGTCTCGAGCCATTCAACTGGATGAGTATAAAAAGACAAAAACATACAACAGAAGGGATTCGCTGGTGGTCACCCACCCAACTACTAACCTCCCGGCGTGTGGCTTAAGTACGGCTGAGCGGACGGGAAGCCCTGTTTTCCACACCCTGTGGTCGTATGTAATTGTTCACAAGTTTGTAGAGTATATAATGAGTAATTTGATATCAAGGTCAAGCCAACGCAATCCATATCAGATCTTATTCCTATATCTGTCCAAGTCAGTATACCCTACATATGCACAGACCAAATATGCAGCAGCAGAATAATCCCTCCGAACAATCAGCAAAAGTAGCCTTTACCTCGAAGTCCACCTAGACTAGCAAGCAAACTGTGGTATCTTCAACCATGAAA